GTAGCCCAGTGTCGTGGTGTTGTCGTCTCACTGTTGTCGTGGTTGTGTCGTCTCACTGATACCAGGTTGTAGCCCAGTGTCGTGGTTGTGTCGTCTCACTGTACAGGTAGCCCAGTGTCGTGGTTGTGTCGTCTCACTGATACCAGCTTGTAGCCCAGTGTCGTGGTTTTGTCGTCTCACTGATACCAGCTTGTAGCCCAGTGTCGTGGTTGTGTCGTCTCACTGATACCAGGTTGTAGCCAAGTGTCGTGGTTGTGTCGTCTCACTGATACCAGCTTGTAGCCCAGTGTCGTGGTTGTGTCGTCTCACTGATACCAGGTTGTAGCCAAGTGTCGTGGTTGTGTCGTTTTGTCTTTCGCTTCTTGGGTGGCTTGGGTGATGTATTTGTTCATCTTTTTGCAGGTTTCGGTTACACGAATTATCCACATCTTTCTTGGTCTTCCTCTCGCCTTTCTCCCAGATTTTCTACTGTAAAAATTCTTATATGCAGTTTGGCATGGCTGCATTCTCACTAGATGACCGAACCATTTAATTCTTTGTCTATCAATATGAACTAGATATAGTCCTATTCCAACCTTGTTTCTAATGCTGGTATTCATAATCCTGTCTCTTTTTATTTTCTGTTCTAGTGCCCTATTCATTGTCCATGTTTGGCACTGATAACATAAAGAAGAAATAAAGATGCTATTAATCATTTGCTGTTTTGCTGGAAGCGAGACCATTTGATGTCTTAGCAGAACATTAATTTGTTTCACAACTTCAGTCACAAATATGGACATTTTTTGCTTTTGAAACATGTTGGTTTAGTAAATTTTTTCCCTGTAGTTTTCTAGGGTTTTCTAACTTGAAAGTGTTTCCACCGTCTTTCGTTTCTCGCATTAAGCCATATTTGATTTTGCATTTCAGTTTATTTTTTATATAGCAGAGACAAGACTTCCATTTATCTGTGACAACTAGACGTAGTTACTATCTATCTACTACTTAACTACCAAGCTATTCTTCGTCCTATTTCGCCCATTCAAGGACAGTTGGCACGTAGTGTGTCTATATGTCTATCTCTATGTTTGTATGTCTTTGTCTGTCTGTTTGTTGGTCTTTCCTGATATATGAAGATTATATCTCTAACAACATGAAAGGCCATGTAAGTCCATCTGAAACATAGTCTGACTATACGAAAGTGTGTATTACTGTCTGTGGATCTATCAGTCTGCGTGTCTGTCTTATTATAGAAAGTCTGCCTATCTGTCTAAATGTATGTGTCTGGCTATATCATGGCCGCCCATCTTTACTTTCCCATGTTCAACAATGATGACCTCACCACCACACCATGACTGCTAGTTGATCGAACTACTGATGACGTGTATCCTGTACGTGTTGCTGTGTGGGGACCTGGTCCAAGGCAGCTTCCCTAACACACCGCTGTCCTTGACCTCCTGGATCCTGCTCTGTACCACGCCCCTGTTGGCCTGCGCCTTCTTGACCTCCCTGCGCCGGGTCAGCACGCTCAGTATGTGGTGCACCATCTCGCACATGCTCATCAATGCCATCATTCTGGTCTACTGTTTTACCAAGGTGAGTCTTTTCGTCCTTACAGTAAAAGCTGAAGGTCCTTGTGGCGTATCGGGCATATCAGGCTAAACGCGTATACTATAGGGTTGTGGCTGATGTGGTTAGTATTACGCCGGCCACCTATACTTCCCAGGATTTCATCGTATAACCATTTAAGATTGGGTCGACCTAGGAGCCAAGATCATGTCTAGAAAAAAAACCCGGCTCCAAGCGAATTTGAGTTTCCGCAGTACGCAGCAACAAAGATGAGTGTAAGTAGGACATGAATGATACAGGTATTGAGATGGATTCACATCATAGAGAAAAAAAAAGGGGGGGGGGGTGGTGAGAGAGATAATGGCGGGAATATGAACAAGGGAGAAAAGGATTGCTGTCCTGTTAAGAGGTGAATGTGTAACAAGAAAGATGTAAAATATACGTGGGGCATAAATGGCCCTTAAATCTCGGGCACTTGTTGTGGAAGTCTTTTTAACACGAGGTGGTCGTGCTAGTCACACTCGCCGTCGCCATGGGTTGTGAATCCTATGCCTCTCTGTAGCAAAGTAGAAGACTGTCGTCTCCAAAGATATTTTTTTTTTAAAGGGTGTTAACAACAAAATCATTTATTCTCGAAGGGTAATATGTGCCTTTACTTTTCATAACTTTTCCTGGTGCACTTTTTTAAATCAGGGGCTACGGTGTCGCAGTAGCTAGTCGCACGTCTACTGATATAAAGGTGTAAGATTTGAATCCGCTTAGTTATAAAAAAATTTTCAATCATTACGTCCTTTTTAGGACGTAATTTTTTGTTATTTGAAGCCCCACTCTGGCTTTTGCCAGGGGCCGCAATATAGGCAGGTCATCATTATGGCCAAATGTCTGAACGCGGTTTCTGGGACCTCTCCACGGTGATCCTCATCCGCATGGTGGCACTTTGTGTCATCGGGTGTTTGTCGCTTGTGTGATGTCCTGGTGGGGTAAAAAATCCAATCCAATCCGCTTAGAGGTAGATTTTAACTTTGATCTGGGGTCTTTCGTCGACTGGGTGTTTGACTACCAAGGGATGTCCTGTGAAAAGACTGTCGATGTGATGTCACATCAGCCGTCCAATGTGGTTGATCTGTGACAGTACGGGTCTAGTCGGTGCCGTCGTTACTGTCTTTTAAAGCGGGGTCGATCTTGGAGCACGGGTATATATGTTAAAGTATATTGTCTGCAGCCTGGTAGGCAAGCAGATTCACTCGACTCAGTCATAATCAATATCATGGGGTAACAGGAGTCCTGGCACAAAGAAAACATTTGGGCGTGGGGAACTCAGCATCCTTACCATATTCTCCATGGGATTTCTCAATGGACCTCAGACTTGACTAAGGGCCGATATATATGTATGTGTGTGTGTGTGTGTGTGTGTGTGTACACACATATATATAATTCAATTTGCTGAATAGTAAGTAAATATAATAATGTATTTGAAATATTATGGAATGTATAAACACATACTTAACAAGAAATATCATACATGGTCTAGAAAGCTGCATAATTCTTTTTTCTCAGGGGAGGGGAGGAGCGGGTTTGGGGGCTCAATGGGCCTGGGGTCGAGTTGGGGGGGGGGGGGTGTTCAATGAGCCTGCGCTCCAGTTCCAGCAGCTGTTGGTAGCCTGTTCTTTGTAGAACGTCACTGTCATCGTAGCTCGCTGGGAAGATATTCACAAGTGTCTGGAATGCACGGTGTCCACTAGTTTTACTCTCACCACTTGATGCAGGAACTTAAACTGTTATAAACCTCGTACTTCCCCAACATTGCGGATCTCAGTAAATGTTTTCTTCAACTCCCGCAGGCAAAAGAATGGCGCTGGAGCGACGTCCAGGTTCGGATAGACATCTGGACGTTCCCGATCTCACTGGGGATCATCGTCTTCTCGTACACCTCGCAGATCTTCTTGCCTGCACTGGAGGGCAAGCTCAGAGACCGCTCCAGATTTCGATGTATGATGACCTGGACTCACGTCATAGCGGCGATATTTAAAGCTCTCTTTAGGTTTGTTGGTACTGTCTTTTTTATTTTAAGTGTATCCGCAAGATGGCTGAAGATATATGTAATATGTAGTGTTCTTATTAATTAAACCAAACAATCGCCTAATCAGGTTATCAGACAATCAATTGATCTGCTGCTGCTACTTGTTTTGATTCAGATATCGCACGAACTAGTGTCTGTCCAGGTTATCCCACAGACTAGTGACTGTCCAGAATGTCACACACAGTGGTGTCTGTCCAAGTTATCCCACAGACTAGTGACTGTCTCTGTCCAAGTTATCCCACAGATGTGTCACACACACAGCGGTGTCTGTCCAAGTTATCCCACAGACTAGTGACTGTCCAGAATGTCACACACAGTGGTGTCTGTCCAGGTTATCCCACAGACTAGTGACTGTCCAGAATGTCACACACAGTGGTGTCTGTCCAAGTTATCACGCAGACTAGTGACTGTCCAGAATGTCACACACAGTGGTGTCTGTCCAGGTTATCCCACAGACAAGTATCAGTCCAGACCATCCCCGACAGCAGTCTCCCACCTGGAAGCGAGCCGCCCTAATTAATCACATTTTATTATGTTTGGGGGCGGAGCCCGGGGGTTCGGTTGTGGTTCTACATACTCAAAGGAGAGAGGGCATGGGGGTCTTGCCCTATATGTACTTAGGGGGAACCTCGACCATAAAAAGGTCGGCGATCACTACGATATACTAGCCTGTCTGGAAGATTTGATGTTAAGGCAGGTTCAGAATGAATAAATGTAAACACAGCCTGTTAACTGAAGTTAAAGAAATATTGTAAGCACTTGTAACTTGCTTGCTGCTTACAGTTGTGTGACCTTATCAGGGAACATCTAGGCACTGCGCATGTTTTTAAGTACACTTTGTTTAACATTAGGTTGTTTTGTTATTCAAGCAAAGCCTATTGATGATTATGATCATCATACAGACACCATTAATCTCGTCATCTTCATGTGGGACGCAATTTTTAGCTATTTTGAAGCCCCACTCTGGCTTTTGCCGGGGGCCATAAATATAGCCGTCTCTAAAATATGGCCAACAAAAACCCACAGTGGTAGAAGCTAAGAGAGCTAGACCAGACCGGGACCCAGAATCCCAAGTACCACACCGGACTTAGGAAGACAGAGCAGGAATATCAGGTGTGACTTCACACCACAAAGAATAGGAAACCAAATAAGATAGACAAGGAACCTTCCTTCATATAGCAGGCCTCCGGGCAGCTGAAAAAGGATCAAGTTAGGAATTTTTGTTAATCAGCTAGAATTGGAATTGGAATATGGCCAAATGGCTGAACTAGGGTTTCCGGGATCTCTCCACGGGTGATCCTTATCCGCATGGTGGCACTTTGTATCACCGGGTGTTTATCGCTTGTGTGATGTCCTGGTGAGGTACATCTTGCATACATAATATACATACAGACATGATGATGATGATTGAAGTAATCGTTATAGGAATAATAAAATAAAAATAGGAAACGCGGCGGTGTAGCGGCTAGAAGCTCCAACTTTAAAAACAAATGTTCTTTACAATGCCGCTGTGGGTTCTAGTGTAAAGACGTTCTAGTTATTTTGTTCTCAGGCTTCCTCATCATGTGTTCTATCCAATGCCAGCGTATTTTCTTCACCTCTTGGTCCACTCGAACTTGTTTAGTTCACTCCCAACACTCATCATTCTACCATACCATTTAATTCCCGCTATTCTGCGCAGGCCCTAGTTAATGTTAAATGTAGTATGTTGAATTAAAGAATCGACTACATAGTATTCGCTACACTCCCATAGGCGCTACGTCCCCATCTTCAGCAGCAAGCAAAGAATTCCAATTCCGATGGTACCAGTAACTGTCTGGTTGTACATCCGTCTAGCCTTTCCCTAGGGAGTTGAGCCTTGGCCACACACGCAGGTAACTCCCCGCGGCGTCGTTCTCCTCTGACCCTAATGATCTATTTGTGCCTCAGCTCTGTTCACTCTCTCCTAAAGTTCCATCAGAACATCTCGGTTATCCTACATCAATTCACCACCAAATGGTGCAAAACCAGCCAGTCTATCTGTCTGCTCATTTCCCAACACACCGGCATATCTGCAGAAAATATCAAAAGGACCCTACCCGGGACCTTGAAGCGATGTCTGCCACTCTGCACGTAGCTTAACGTAAATACTGCTTTTGTTTTATATCATTGTGATAGTTGGGAGATGGCATGTACACCTGTACACATCTGGAGGTGTTTCGTATACACCATTGGATGTATTTCATGTACACATCTGGATGTGTTTCATATACGCCTTTGAAAGTGTTTCATGTATACTTAAACGCGAAGCCTGCTCATGTGAATGTTTTTGTTGTATGTTTCAGCTACGTGGGTTTCCTGACCTGGGGCTTTGACACTCTGGAAGTGGTGACAAACAACCTGCCGTCCACCAGCCTCAAACACATCGTCAACTTCTTCCTAGTGTGTAAGGCCATGCTGTCTTACCCGCTGCCCTTCTTCGCCTCGGTGGACCTCCTACAGACCGCATTCTTCCAAGGAAGGCCGAAGACATGCTTCTCATCCTGCTTCGACGATTCGCGACAGCTCACCTGGTGGGGCCTCAGTCTGCGCTTGGGCCTGGTCCTCTTCACCTGCGCCATGGCTATCACGGTCCCACACTTCGCTCTGCTGATGGGACTCATCGGTAGCTTCACGGGGACGATGTTGTCGTTTGTGTGGCCCTGCTACTTCCATCTGCGCCTCCGCTGGCACCTCATGTCCCGCGCCGCCCGAGTCCTGGACATCGTCATCATCATCACTGGTCTGCTGTGTTGTGGCGTTGGTATATATTACTCTGGACACGCGCTGTCTAGAGCTTTCCAGGGATTGCCGCCATCGTCTGCTCACACACTCAAGTTACCAATTCACAATTAGGACTTATTTGTTTTGTTTCGTGGTTGGGGGAGGGGGAGTACATGTTCCTGAATGTGGACGTACGATGTATGTAAGCGCTGCTTCACCTCTAATGTTTTTTCATAGGACTACTTTAAATCAACTCACCCTGTGTGTCCCCGTCCCCGTCATACAATGGATCCTCAGTACAGTGCACGAATCCAGAATAAATGGCTAAACAGCTTTCACGTGCGATGCCTACGTGGAATACTTGGTTTTAAGTGGCATATCAATATCAGAGACACTACTGGAGACAGCAAGTATCACAACAGTTGTCTCAGTGTAATGGAGACAGCAAGTATGACAACAGTTGTCTCAATATACTGAAGAGAGAGAGGGCAGGTGTGACAACAGTTGTCTCAATGTACTGGAGACAGCAGGTATGACAACAGTTGTCTCAATGTACTGGAGAGAGAGCAGGTATGATAACAGTCGTCTCAATGTACTGGAGACAGCAGTGTGACAACAGTCGTCTCAATGTACTGGAGACAGCAGGAGTGACAACAGTTGTCTCAATGTACTGGAGACAGCAGGTGTGACAACAGTCGTCTCAATGTACTTGAGACAGCAGATGTGACAACAGTCGTCTCAGTGTACTTGAGACAGCGGGTGTGACAACAGTCGTCTCAATGTACTTGAGACAGTAGGTGTGACAACAGTCGTGTTAATGTACTGGAGGCAGCAGGTGTGACAGCAGTTGTATCAATGTACTTGAGACAGCAGGTGTGACAACAGTCGTCTCAGTGTACTTGAGACAGCAGGTGTGACAACAGTCGTCTCAATGTACTTGAGACAGCAGGTGTGACAACAGTCGTCTCAATGTACTGGGGACAGCAGGTGTGACAACAGTCGTCTCAATGTACTGGAGACAGCAGGTGTGACAACAGTCGTCTCAATGTACTGGAGACAGCAGGTGTGACAACAGTCGTCTCAATGTACTTGAGACAGCAGGTGTGACAACAGTCGTGTTAATGTACTGGAGGCAGCAGGTGTGACAACAGTCGTCTCAATGTACTTGAGACAGCAGATGTGACAACAGTCGTCTTAATGTACTTGAGACAGCAGGTGTGACAACAGTCGTCTCAATGTACTTAAGACAGCAGATGTGGAGGGGGGGGGGTGCATTCTCTATGGTGAAATACAGATGTGTAGCGGAGCACTACATGAAAGAAACTGTGACTGGAAAACATAAAGGACGAGACATCTGATTTTCTAAACAGCAAAGCTCAAGGTGAAACCAAGAAACAGTGTAGTTGGGAAAGTGAGGAGGGCGTGGTGCACACAAAATGGCTGTATTACGAAACATGATAAAGTTTGTTTGAAACAGTCCGTGTTTCTTTGAGGATTCCGTTGATACAGACTGGTGGAAACGTTCGATTGCATTGTGTGCGTCTTTTCCATTCCTCAGCTAGGCTTTTTTCACGGTCAACTCTAGATATAAATATACAGCTGGACGTAGCTTTTTTTTAGTTACACTTGATGTTGGTTAATAGCCGTTGATGTCATCGGCTCCACTGTAGCCACGTACTATTTACGTCTATCTATCTGTCTGTCTATCTATCTATCTATCTATCTATCTATCTATCTATCTATCTATCTATCTATCTATCTATCTATCTATCTATCTATCTATCTATCTATCTATCTATCTATCTATCTATCTATCTATCTATCTATCTATCTATCTATCTATCTATCTATCTATCTATCTATCTATCTATCTATCTCTCTATCTATCTCTATCTATCTATCTATCTATCTATCTATTATCTATCTATCCGTATCTATCTTTTCTATCTAGCGTCTGTCTGTCTGTGTGTCTGTAAATTGCTGTCGTTCTTGTGTCACTATGTTTATCTTAGTCCCCCCCCCCCCCCTCATAATGAGGATTTTCCTAAATATCTGGGGTTGTCAAACAGAAAAGAACCTCGTCTGCCTGCCTAGGTCACCATTTGCTGTTGACTGCATGGTCAGTTCCCACCATCTTGGTCGGAGTAGGGCAATGAACTTGATGTCTGAGGATTGTCCGTTCAGTCAGATTCTGTATCCAGGGTTTAAGGCAATGAACTTGATGTCTGAGGATTGTCCGTTCAGTCAGATTCTGTATCCAGGGTTTAAGGCAATGAACTTGATGTCTGAGTCTTATCCGTTCAGACATCCAGGCTCAGGGTTGGGGGGGGGGGGGGTGTGTGTGACAACCACCTCCACCTTCCCGCAACCGAGGTTTACAGCATCGGTTTGGAGAGGTCGGTATATCTGGTTACGTGTGTAGAATAATGCCTCTATCAGGGTGCATGCCAGTTAGTACTTCAACAGTGAGGGAGCTCTTTTTTCTCCAGGTGTCCGCCTGCCTAGCTGCCTGTATCCACACATTTTGTTGAGTGTTCAGCTAAGGAATAAACTTCACAGCACTCGGTACATTTCAATAAGCGGTCCCTCCTCATCTTCAGCAGCAGCCGATGATGCAAATGTGTAACCTCAAGAATACATTTACCTGTATATACCACGGAGAGGTGGTGTAAACTTGTTTGCTTCTATATTGACTGGAGAATTGCTAGACTTTATCTGAAATATATCTATGCGTATGTTATTATGGTTGTATTTTGATGTACATGTTTGTGTGTACGCTAAACTATGATATTAAGTAGATGCAATTAAAAAATATTTAGAATAAACATTGTGTCCAGCATTTGTTGTTATTGTAATTTCTAAATAACAGTATCAACTGTTAGGACACGAAGAAGTATTTGAACAACATAGGCAGATTTTTAAAAAATAGTCGTAATGAAGATGTCATGAAAGAAAGTAACTTGCAAAGTGAAGAGTTACACACAACAACTGCAGGTCATCCCTATTGCGTGGGCACGCTATGAGAAAACGAAAATTTGAGTACGTGGAGACAACAGGAAAGTTAGAGCGGAGGAGCGGCCAGGAAAGAAGATGTTAGACAGTTGGGCATTATGCCAAAGATGATTGTGTATTAGATATGACTGGGGGCACCTGAAACAGAAGGTTGTTGGTAGATATGCCCACCAGCGCACCACTGTTGCACAAAAAGAAGAAGAAGGGGAGGGAAAAGAAAAAGTAGAATGAGCAGAAGGAGTTGCACCTTGACTTTGAAGGAAATCGATCCTTATATCACTGGCCAGGTTGGCTGTTGAAAAGATGTTTCGGTGATGACCGCGGAGAGCTTCTGTGCCAGCAAGTGACGCTCAGGAGGCTTCAACGAGCTGAATGACTCTAAGATATATCATGGACATCATGCAAAGGATATGCATCTCTACCTTCTTGGTCAGCAACGGGGGGAGGGAGAGTGGGAGCTGGAACCTAGATGCTTTGACACATAGAGCCGCTCCCATTCTCACCCACTCCCTCCCCCAGTAGACGCAACGGTCTCACAGAGTATATCCAGGACGACAGAGTGATCTATTGAAGATATCTATTTCTATCTATCTATCTATCTATCTATCTATCTATCTATCTATCTATCTATCTATCTATCTATCTATCTATCTATCTATCTATCTATCTATCTATCTATCTATCTATCTATCTATCTATCTATCTATCTATCTATCTATCTATCTATCTATCTATCTATCTATCTAGCTAGCTATCTATCTATCTATCTATCTATCTATCTATCTATCTATCTATCCAAATTCACAGTTCCAGATTAGGCAGTAGTATTTTGGCTAAACATATCAAGTATCCACAACGTACACAACAATCAGCGCCCGGCACTGAAGTACCTAAAATCTCGCCTGTGGCAAACATGCATAGAAGGCAGTGCACCGTCCCTATCTCAATGTCAAACGTGTCTTCATCTCAAGCTCACATTCCTCTGCGTCGCAGCCCATGTTCCATTCCTCAGGCTGAAAATTACGATGTTATGTTTCCTTCACTGCATGTGAAGCAATCATCTCCAGTCAAATCTAAGGAAACGCCCTTACACATGCAAGGCATGCCTCAAGCATCTGTTTCTAATGTAGGACTTACCAGTGTTGCTCAGAGTAGCCCCCCTTCATTGCACACTAGTGTACACCCAGACTACAACTGGAATTATGAAGTTCAGCATCTTATGCAGTTCAACCCTGCAGCTCTACATCATGCCTATATGATGTCGCTCCAGCAGAGACGCTACCATAACCTGCCTAATAATACTACTTACTAGTGATTATAGTTTTAAAACCACCCTAACAATATCCTCCGTTTCAAAACCATCATGTTAAATAGTCGAAATAAGTGGTTTCAAAAAGATGGCCTCTGAATAGGTCATCTAAACATTTTTCATTTGCTCGGCAAACTACCCGAGCTATCAATTAGGCTCAGTAACCAATTCCACGTTTTTGGAATTACAGAAAGTCGCTTGAACGACAAAATTAGTGACAACGAAATCACCATTGGTGGTTTTACAGTAATTCGCAAAGATGCAATAAGAAGATTAGAGACTGGCATAGCAGTTTATATTTCGAATTATCTCAAATATTCACGTAGATTTAATTTAGAATGTGAAAATATCGATTGTATCTGGCTGGAGGTTAAGCCATTAAACCAGCAGTCACTTCTCATTGGCTATCTTTATCGAAATCCAAGTGAAGACAGCAACTGGTATGACGACTTTACTTCTATGATGGACATAGTTTTTAGTGTAGGGAAAGAAATTATTCTTCTTGGCGATTTTAACATTGACATAAATAAACCCAACCAGACATGGGAAGATATCATTCTTTCATGTAACCTCAAACAGTTAATTAACTTTCCCACTAGAGTTACAGAAACATCTTCAACACTAATTGATCATATATATGTCTCTCACCCAAAAAATATTATTGAATGTTCTGTCCCCGCTACGGCTATTAGCGATCATTATCCTGTATGCTGTGTATGGGCGAAAATTGGTTTTAAAACACCTAAAGATAAACATATCGCAGTTAAATTTAGAAATTTCAAAACTTTTAATCCTGACTCTTTTTTACTAG